GGCAAAAAACAAATGCAGTCTGGAACAGATTCCTTCCATATGTTTGCACCAGGTTAATCTTGGCCGTCCCGTGCGCCTTTTACCGTTCGAATTTGCAAGGAACAGTTGCTTAGCCTTCCTTACTGGAAGTATTCGCAAGATCATCATTATTTAAATCGTCATTATTCCACCATGCAAAATGAAACGGTGATCTTTTTTCCTACCTTCGATCCTGCGTGAGGACGATACCGAAAATAATTTTACGCCAAGACCTTTCTTCGTAACTTAAAATGGAGATAGATACGCAAGGGATGACGACTATTTGAGTATTTTCGTTTCAGCTCAATCGGCGGTACTTGGTTCAGTCGTTTTTTATTGCCATTTGATCGTTTCGAAGATAAACCTTACTAAACAACCGCCCTTTCCAGGCGCCGTGTTCCTTATGTGAACTTTTAGACACATGTTGAACAAGGTGCTTACGATACCTTTCTAATGTTGTGAAGATAGTTGCAGTTGTAGGGCACAAAAAAAGGATTCATATGCATTGGCTTGTGGTGTAAATTCTCCTTCTTCGAGATATCAATCTGTCTGTCTAGAAACTATAAAACTTTTTTGTCTTCTTCTTCCACCGTGAAGGAAAAGTTTGTTAGGTAACAATAGTGCATGTGATTCAGGATCGGTTCCCTGCACATTTCAGGCAATGACGAATAAGTCGTCCCCATACATTTGGCAAATTCGATGGTGAGATCGAGCCTCCTCTCTGCGGTTTATTGCTTAAACGAAACTAGTTGCAATTTGCCATGTAAATTTTTTAGTATAGTATTGCAGAGCAGTTTCTGTTGAGCAATACGCCCGTTTTCAGCTCATCATCTGACGCAAGTCTCTGTCCCATGATTTCAAAAGTCAAGTTGAGCAGAATGCTGGTGAAAAGAAGTTCGAAATCAGGGTTTCCCATTACGGTAATTTCAGTTGGCGGAAATTAACGAATTATTTGGGCAGATTCATCAGAGTTCACGCTGTGTGATTTAAAATTTCAGGTAATCTCTTACAACGTAAGAAGAATGGGTAGAATTTTGGTAGACAGCGGCATTCAGGAACTACAAAAATGTTAATCTGACCTTCGCAATTGGCCATTTGACCTTTTCTTCGCTCAATTCATTCTCTTCCTTCAATATGTTTAAGCAATTTATCAGCACAGATATCGTGCAATAAATAGGCTTTTTGCATATTTGCGGACATAATCAGATTCAGATTTTAACATTGCTACGCATTTCTCGCTGTGTTCTTCTCGGTAAAATACGACTGTTTTCATAATGGCAGTGAAGCTGAGATTTTTCAGATCTTTCAGAGCTCGTAGTTCGCTTCTGGTACGATTGTATGCACATCTTCCGTCTTTGTAATTACTGCAAGATTCTGGAACACTCTAGTTTCGGAACATACTTTACCCACTTCAGCAACAGTCTCCAGTATCGATAAATCACGCGAAGTGATAACGAAAGTTAGGCCTTTACAAAGCAATTTGAAGTTCAACACTTGACTAAACTACTCTTCGTTAACAGATCATCTCTGGTTTATGCCCTTCAAAAAAAAGATTAGCACTGCATCATTTGACAGATAAATGGAAAAGCCGCTGATGGTTCTTATCGCGAACGTGCAACCGAGGCATATGTCGAAAAGGTTAGAAACATCTCATTACCGCATTCATTTTCAATGCACACTACGTGTTGTTCATTTCTTATCATGAAGTAGCTCCTTCAGGAACGGTTGCCAACTTGTATTTCTCTGTTTTAACAAACAGAATCATACTGTATTTCATGCACTACAATTAGCAAACAATATTTCCTCTTAGAGCAGAGTAACGTGGTAAAATACTTTCATCCTTAGCCGATAGCCCTCAAATACATGATGTGATACCTCATGATAAAAAGGGGCATGAGACAGTTTATTAACACAACTCAACAGCAATATGGCGAATCGAAAGAATAACCAATATTGAGGTTTCGGCTCGCGTATATGAAAGATTGGTAAAGTTAAAGAGGTTTTTCTTGCTGTCCTCAGCGGATAACAGGTTTGGAGCAAAAATGGTTATTATTAGTCAATAATCTCATTAACCGTGTTATTTTTTGCGCTGTCTATTAATAAACCGTGTTTTATGCTGTTTCAGCATGACGATTAACGCATGAACGAAATTCTCTATGTGTTATCACATGCCTTATACATGACTGAGAAACGGTTTTCAAACTGCCGTGGCTTTCAAGTCAT